CTCGCGTTGTTTTGTCTGCTGATAACCTTGAATGCGTCACGTGGGTTTTCGCACAAGGTACAATCGAGCAGATGCTGAGCGATGGAGCTGGCAGGGAGTTTAGGTCCACTATTTGCCAGGTTCCGTGGAACATGTTCCATGATCCTAGTTGATAGCCTTCTCTCGGTTCGGCCAATGTACATGCTACCGCAAGTACAGGTGAATTGGTAAACACATGAGGCGGTAACCTGAGAGTGAGGCCTATCCAAGTTGGATTCATGGAACAGCTTCTTGGTTTGATGTAACAACACGAGCTCAGCTGCGTAGTAGCACCTTTTTATGGCTTGGCGTAATCGGTAGCACAATCTTCTGTCGTTCTGTTCCCCTTTGTATGGTAGCGTGATGAAGACCTTTTTCTTTGGGACATCCATTCGTGTTTCTTTCTTAGCAACCTCATTCCCATACCTGGCGATGAATTTATTAGGATAGCCGTTATTGCGTAGGTTAGATTCGATGTATCGTAATTCAGCCTCGATTGACTCTTCAGAGCATATTCGGTGTGCTCTAACAAAACAAGTTCGAACTAGGGATCGTTTATAGTTCATTGGACAGTAACTGTTGAAATGTAGGTATTGTCCGGTCCAGCTCGGTTTCCGGTAAATCGATCTTATGAGTGAACCATCTGCTCTTCTTTTAAGTGAAACGTCAAGAAAATGAAATGAATCCTCTGATTCACTTTCCATAGTGAACTTGATGTTAGGATGACATTTGTTTAACGTTTCCAAAAGGACCTGTCGATTGTACCTTGTGCGAAAACCCACGTGACGCATTCAAGGTTATCAGCAGACAAAACAACGCGAGCTTGCTTCGTTTCGCTGAAGCCTCGGCCATCCGACGAATGAAACCAAACCTTTGCAAACAGGTAGACCTTGTGGCCAGTCTTGCCTTGCCCTGGTAAGACGCAGGCAATGATCTTGATTTGCTCAGTGTTTTATTGATTTTCCTATTGACCCCCTTTTTCAATTGCATTCCTTTACTCTTTCCACGATTTGTCTGTAAGCGGCTGAATGAGAAGACACGAAATAATCTGAATTCAGGTTATCCCGCATAAATGCTGTTCGTTCTTGCTCTCTTGAAATAAATTTTTACTTTTGAGACGGAGGAAGTAAGTTCATTTGGGCCAATCAGAGCCTTCGCAGCTAAACCAAGGAAGACGAAGCCTTGACAAGGCTCGCGGTTCCAAACTCCTGCTTCTCACCTCACCGCTATTCCTATTTGCTTTCCCACCCAAATGACAGGGTGCCTTAACAGCACAACCACTGCTGCAAACGCAGCGATGTGGAATTTTGTTAACCACCTACTACCGTACATGTGATTTTCTTTAGAGCGCCCGCATGCATCTCACCCCACAACATCATAAGCCCCACCTCCCCCCCCTTCCCAAGTCCCACCGGTCCAGATCCGCGACTGACCCCCCATAAACCAACCAGTCCGCATATTTGACTAAGAGAATGCATATAGAGACGTCCCCCTCCTCTGCCGTCCCCCTACCACCTGCATCCCATAACCCCAGCATC